CCTACAACACAGCCCCGCCCACTGTGATGTCATCATGCAGATGAAAACTGTAGAGATGTTATAGCGTCAAAAGGCTGCTCCCCAGTGATGGCTACCACTGGTTTCAGCTGTCCAGTTGTCAACATAACGCACTAAATCTTAATTGTTTTTGTGATACATAAAAGAAAAATGGTCGCAGTACTAACTGCTGACAAGTAGGAAAAAGGTTTAAATAAAAAAAGCAAGGAAGAAGGGAGTAGTTCAGTTATGCTAGCTTGACTTTGACAATTTTAACATGTAGATGTGCTGCAGAATTTTCAGTTTCAGTTCAGTTTAATTTAAAAAAGGCGACTCACACACCAACTAGATTAGCTAATCAGATTTGTCTTTTTGCCCTTATGCAAAAAAACAAAAAGTCTAAAGCAACATCATAGAACAGTGGTTCTTAACCTTTTTTGAGGTACCGAACCCCCCAGTTTCATATGGGCATTCACCGAACCCTTCTTATTCCTCCACCCAATGTAACGTGATCCTCTGCAGCAGCTCTGATTGGCTCAGCAATGTAACGTGATCCTCTGCAGCAAGTGATGGCAAAGCGGGGAGAGTCATCACGACTTTACACAGTGTGTCTTTACCTCCGCGGCAGAGGCTCCGCTGAACCCCTGAGACCGACTCATCGAACCTCTGGGGTTCGATCGAACCCAGGTTAAGAACCGCTGTCATAGAAGAAATAGAGTATAGTGAAATTCAGAAACATTTTCATTGACGGAAATAAATAAAAATGGTAATTAAAGAGGACAAACTATAAATGGAATTATGTTGCATAGTTATAAAGTTAATTAAAACTGAAATTGCAGATGTTATATCCTTCGTTTTCGTGTTTTTGAATTAATGTGAAGTTACATCAGGTATCGGGAAATTACGGCACTACGTAGTAATCCTGGTGGCTACGCTACGCTAGTCCATCGGTTGGTTGTTCAGCAATAACTGATCACATTTAAAAAAAAACATTAATACATAACCTTGATAAAAAACTTTGACCTTTTCTGCACCAAAATATGAAAAAACCAAAACTACGACGATAAAAACTAAACTATGGCAAAACATTTAACTCATAATAACTAATTTAAAACTGGGGAACAAAGAGTCACAACGGAATAAAACTAAACTTTGGTCAATAGTGATTAGCAAGTTTTTCTAAAAGCTTCCTTTGTTTATGAAAATAGTTTTTGTCATATTTATACAGTTATTACCAAAAGCAAAACTTTACATTTAAGAGCCTCCGAGCTTTCCTTCGCCTCGACCATCGCTGCTGTGGAGAAAATTACAGATAGAGAATGGATGCAAAGCCGTCACATCTCAGATTTCCTCCCATATATCCACTCAGAAAAAGAAAACCATACTCAGAGTCACACAAACAACTATTTGAAAGTCCATTTGAGGAGAAGACAGACGGCTCGATAACCCAACAAAGCTGTGACCCAGTTGACTTGCGTGTTTTCTTCCTACAGCTCTAGATGGACGGAAGCAGAAGAAAACAAGATTCAAACCCCGGCTTGAGGTTTCCGACACTTTGAAGGTGCTACAGAAGTGTGAGGTTTTTTCTAATGGTTCTGTCTCTGTGTGGACATAAAACAAAGTAGTTGGTGTCTGTCTGAAGTTATCACTGCCTCGCAGCGATGCTCAGACAGCAGACAGGACCCGCCTGCACAATAAAGATCAAACCCGGCTGCGGATGTTCAGACAGCACGTCTGGTCCGGAGCTAAAAAGAACAAGTCCCCTCTCGGTTTTTATGCGCTGCGTTCGCGTGCGTTTCATTGCTCTTGTCTTCGTTCCTGCGGTTCTGGTCCGGTAACCGTGTTGCCATTTTCAACAGAATCTCACTAAATGAGATTTCGATTTTAATAAAGGTCAAACAAACACGTTTTGATGGAAACCAGGGGATGGATTTGTTTTGCTTTTCACACTGATGCTCAGGAATTGTTCTGTTTTCACAGCCTTTTCCGCCATTTTGTCATGTTACAAACACAAACAAATGTTTATTTAACGGGACTTTAAGGGAAACGAATACGTTAAACCACAACAGTGATGGTTTTCCAAAAACTACACGAGGAAATTACCAATGAATTACTAATGAAAATGTACCAATGAATCTGTATTTTATGGAAAAATTGCAACATTGTTGAATTGTTGACAGAAAGTAAGGAACAAAATCCAGCCAAATGTCCACAAAAGGTTTATGGTAAAAGGTTCGGATCGTGTTCTTGCCTGTAGGTGCAGCACATTATGACCCTTTTTAAAGTAAAAACAACTAAATAAACGTGACATCATAGGTTGTCTACTGTGTTTTTGGTGACTTACAGGAGTGAAAACTTAATTTACAAAAAGCAAAAAACAAAATCTCCATAATTTCCATTTGTTTCTTTTTCTCTTTCTACCAGAAAACTGGTGCTTTGGTCTTAACTAGTCACTTTTTGAAAGGCACTTTTGATTACACGGACTTCAGATTTTGTTTTATTTGTTGTTTTATTTACTTTGCATAGCTCCAATGTTTAGTGTTTGTTATAATTCAATGTTTATTGAACTTTAAGAATGTCTTTATTGCGTTATTATTCCATTATATTACTTGAAAATGGTCTAAAACAAAACAATATTTACTGCAGTAACTTCTGGGACAATTTATAATCCAGCAAAATTATACACACATTTATAATTTGGGTTATTTTAAATCACCTTAAATTTTAATTCCCAATGAGATCCATGCAAATGTGAGGCTGCAACATGACAAAACATGAGAAACACTAAGGGGCCATGGACACTTCTGTAGCTTTTTTTGAAAAAACAAACAATAGTTTGCTGTGAAAACTTTAATTAGAGGCTCATGTGCTCGCTAAATACAGAGCAGCCCACATTAAAACAAACTAACGGCGAAGACAGTTAAAAAGAATAACAAGGACTCCAGGAAAATCTAATTTAAAGCAGACATCTCGGCCATCTCCCCCCGTTCCTCTTAAGCTGGGAACTATTCATTTAGTCTCTGCCTCCATCTGTTTTCCATCTCATCTTGAAAATTGTCAGTTTCACTTATTGTGCAGCTTTTCCCTGAAAAGTAATGTTCAGGCTGGAATTATGCTCATGATGATAGCGTTCGCCGGCTCTCCCTTGTAGATTCACATCAAAGATTTCCCTTCTCTTTTTTTCGAATGGTGGATAAAAGAATGAGGGCGAAAATATGAAAATATGAAAATGCTGCATGGCTGTGAGATCGACTCGTCTGAGTGGAGGGAAAATTCTGTTTTTGTTCCGGCTGACATCAGAGGAAGTGAGACTGGGACCATTAAAACCTTTTCCCAGTTAACGTCATGGAGTTCACTGGTCTGCTGCGCGTCCCGAAGCGTTTCCGCTTCATTCTGGGAAAATCTCCAAATGCAAAGCAAGAAGACGGGACATGGAGCGAGTTTGGAAAACTGTAAATCTGTTCCAACTGGGAAGAGTTTGGCTTCAACTGGGAAGAGTTTAGCTTCAACTGGGAAGAGTTTAGTTTCTGGTGACTGAAGGGAAAAATGAAAATTTACTGTAATTACCAACAATAATCTGTTCATCCAACCGCTCATCCATCTGTCCATCCAACCGCTCATCCATCTGTCCATCCAACCGCTCATCCATCCGTTCATCCATCCTTTCATCCAACCGTTCATCCAACCATCCATCCATCTCTCCATCCTTTTCATGTTGGTTTTCTTGCAGCTTCCATGCTTTGATCTTTTTCTTTACCATTTTTCTGCCACAGATTTAATTTTTTCACTTTCAAAAATATCTTCAAATGAACTGAAACTGAATCTGAGCCTAGAAAAGCTTTACATGAAACGTCGTTTAAAAACAATCTGATTGGCTCATAATCATCAAATTAACAGAAATAAAAACTTCACATCAATCTGTGTGTAATTTATCTACACAATGTTTGACTTGGTGAACTGAGTTTATTAAATATTACTGATGATATATTAGTTAAATAAGAGGAAGAATCAAAATGACATTATTAGACTGATAGATGTAGAGAAAATGATGCATAATATATTTTATAACCCAATAAAATGTGTTGACATTTTAATGGGAGAAAAAGCTTAGATTTAAATCCACATCTAAAACCCGTCCTGTGGACATAAATAATAAAATCTGATTGCTTGATATAATTACATAAACAGTGGATTAAATCCACCTTACAGGCCAGGATAATTAACACAAACATTAACTGATTAGAACAGGATAAAGCTCTCCATTAACCGCTAAGTCCATTGTTTAATTAGGTTTTGAACAATAATTTAATCATTTTTAATTGGACAAAATCCTCCAGTAACCTGGATGTTTTTAAGAGTCGATCCAGAAAAGACAGAATAACTGAATTTTAAAACAACAGATAATAAATCCAGAAGGTGATAGAGGTATGATAACGTCGAGATAAAAGACGACTGATTACTTCGCGCAGAAAAAAAAAAGGACAAGGATTTTTCTATTGATTACCAATTCAGCCTAAAACACTATTTGGCTTGAAATAAAAAGCAACACAATGGAGTAATAATCCTCCTGAAAGCCTCAGATTCCTCTTTTTCCCTGTCATCAGGGATACAATCAGGCATACAAATCTCTGAGGCTTCTTTGGGACAAGAAAAACAGAAAAAAGAGAAATGAATAATGAACTCAGCCATGGGGCTTTTTTAATGTAATCCAGCCACTGTCTCTCACAGAGCATTTCATCAAACTTCAATAAAATAATACAAGAGAAAGTGACACATTACTACCGAAGGCAATGTGAGCCGCTCAGGGACAAAACAATCAAGAAAGCAATCTGAAAAAAAAAAGTCAGAGACAGCGTTCTCGACAAGAGGCGGTGAAATTAGAAAAGATTTAATTTTAGCGTGGCGCGGCGGCAGCGACAATCGAGCGTCGCTCCGGGGTTCGGTAACATTAGAACTGCCAACTTCCCGTGTTGCTAAGTTTGTTTGATTGCAAATGAAAAAAAGTCGTGTCAGAGGTGTACGCCGGTGTTCAGACAAAGAACACAATCACATTAGAGGGGTAAAGCAGCCCATTGTTGCTCTCTCCACTCACAATCAATAAAGACTCGCTCTTATTCAAGTCCCTGAGATTAGATCCAGCGCTTTAGTGGGCTGCTGCTGCTGTAACCGCGTTACACCAGCAGGAAAACGCTTCCACTTCCAGGAAGGTTCAGTCGGTCCAACAGGGTCTCAAACTTTCACCTCCCACTATGAATGTCAGCCGGTAATTTGGGCTTCAAATCATTTGTAAAGTTTGCCTTTATTGCAGATTTTCCCCAATCTAATCAACTCAAATATAGACGTGAGCTCAGCATATTGTGTTGAAGACAAACTGCCCACCAATATCAAAAATCCTCAACTTTAAAATTCATCTGTCTATAAATCACTGAAAGGTTTGGCATCAAAATACATTAAAGACTTCATGTTGTATGAACCTTAGAGACCTCTCAGCTCTTC